AATAAATAAAATCTTAAAAAAAAAAAAAAAAAGAAAAAAACCTGGCAGGAGAACGTGGATGGAAGGAGGCAAATGTAAAAGCAAAACAGATAATTGGCTAACAGAGTCATCATTCTGTATAAAAACCAAGCAAGATTTCCATGTACTATGTAGAGTAAACAAAAACAAACAAAAAGTTGTCCATTTCCTGTTTTTCTAAAAAACGTGGTTGCGGCCCAGCCGAGGTCAGTGTTGATCAGTCCTCTCCCTTCAGTGATGTCCAGTAAGGTTTTCATAATTTCATGTAGTCATTTGTTTCACTCGTACCCCTGCCTGTGGATAAACATACTAAGGTCCCCCATATTAGCATGTGGACCTACAGTCTAGCATCGGGTTATCACAGGACGAAGTGAAGCTCTTAGAGGGCAGGAACCGTGACCATCTTGTTAATTCGTGGATCTCAGTGCCTAGTTTGATGTCTGGAAGGCAGGAAGCTGCTCAAGACATCTGTAAACAGGTGAAGTTAAAGAACCCATGACTACAGACGAAAATAAGAAAATAAGGGCGCCTGGGTGGCTCAGTCAGTTAACCGTCTGCCTTCGGCTCAGGTCATGATCTCAGGGTCCTGGGATCGAGTCCCGCATTGGGCTCCCTGCTTAGTGGGGAGCCTGCTTCTCCCTCTCCTTCTGCCTGCCACTCCCCCTGCTTATGCTCTCTGTGTCAAATAAATAAATAAAATCTTCTTTAAAAAAATAACAAAACACAGAAACAAGAGTGTGGTTTTACCAAAATGAAAGGAAGACTTGGTTTAGTGGATCACATGAAGGATTATCACCCAAGATCTGGTTGTACAACCTTCACCAAGTGACTTATCTGAGGTTTAAATCAAAATGAAAAACAATTCTTCCCTGGCAAAACAGATAATTGGCTAACAGAGTCATCATTCTGTATAAAAACTCATTTCTTCTGTCAGAAACAGTTCCTCGATCTTTGGTTTTCAAGGGCCTGACATACCTTAGGTTTTTCTGTTCTGCGCACGTTGTTTTAATAACAGTAAGAATCTCACTACCGTTCCTAATACATTCTTTTGGTGAAGGAAGAAATTTAAATTGGGGGGACTTTTGGAGAATTTTGACTGGGGATATGCTAGCATCTGGACTTGGGTTTTACAAGTGGAAACCAAAGCAGTGAGTGAGCCGTGGACACGCACTTCAAAGCCAGCTGCCGAAGGAACAAGAGGCTATTTGAGGAAGTGCATATTCCTCTTTGAAGTGTAATCACCCACCCCACAAGTGGACTTTTAAGAAGGGTCCATCGCTTCAAAAAATAAATAGCCCCTTATTTGGCAAGGCTAATCTCAACGTATGTGTCATCAATTCCACAGTGAAGATAAAAGAAAAAAAGTCACCAGAGAGATTTTATCAAGTGCAGATGCATACCTATGTGGTGGATATTGTAATGATGTGAGCTCCACCACACATAGACACTCGCCTGCCTTGAGCGTCCACCTCTAAGAATCTACAATTTGCAATGAAGGTGGCTGCTTTCTTCTGTGTTATTAAGTCAGCTCTGGGCTCTTCGCTCAACTTCCTTTCCTTTCTGCAGTTAGTTAACATGTGTGTAGTTTTAGGGAGAGGCTGAATGAAGTAAATGCTTGATTCGCTAGAATCACACAGGATGGAGTTATGGTCAGGGGCATGCATTTGTTACTAGCTGGTAAGTTCCTTGCAGGCAGAGTACACATTGGACTGGTTTTTTTAAAAAAAAACAAAAGCACCCCTTACAGCCTTTAGCTTCACATTAAATAGGTGTCTGGTAAGTGCCTGTCAAGTAGGCGAAGTATATACTTGAGTCCTGTGATAAGGCCAGGTTTGTATGGTGCAAAGTCGACAACAATAGGTTGCTGTCTGCTTTTTTATTTTAATTAAAGACTTTATTTTTTTTTTAAGATTTTATTTATTTGAGAGAGAGAGAGAACACGAGCAGGGGGAGGGGCAGAGGGAGAAGCAGACTCCCCGCAAAGCAGGGACCCCGATGCAGGGCTCGATTCCAGGACACTTAACTGACTGAGCCACCCAGGCGCACTTAAAGACTTTATTTTTTAAAGCAGTTTTAGTTTCATGGCAACACTGAGAAGAAACTACAGAGATTTCCTGTATCCTTCCTGCCCCCACACGTGTGTGGTCTCCCCCAGTACCAACAAGCCCCCACCGGGGTGGTGCATTGGTCACAGCTGATGAACCGACATTGACACATCGTAATCACCCCAAATCCATAGTTTACATTACGGTTCACTCTTGGTGTGGTACATTCTAGGGATTCCGGCTGGCAGCTTTTTGATAACGGGAACTTAATTGATCTTGCTTTTAAGATGTACTGGGTTTGGTTTTAGCCTCCTAAAAACCTTTTTTTTCTAATTTTCTAATTTCAAAATAATCACAAATTTCCAGAAAAATCGCAGCTACAGGACAAAACGTCTTTTCTGTAAGTGCTGTCTTGACACCCCATTAACCCCAAATACTTTAGTGTGGATTTTTTTTTCCTAGATCGTAGACATTCTCCTAAGGACCACAACACAGTCATCAAAATCAGGAAATTAACATCAATACACTACCACCCTCTAATCTTCAGGGTCTATACAAGATTCTCCAGTTGTTGTTTTTAGTAATCTCTACCCCCACCACGGGGCTCGAACTCACGACCCTAATATCAAGAGTGGCATGCTCTACCGACTAAGCCAGCCAGGCGCCCCTCCGGTTGTTTTCATAACATCTCCCCTTTACAGCACAAGGATCCAGTCCAGAATCTCATTTCTTCTGTCAGAAACAGTTCCTCGATCTTTGGTTTTCATGGGCCTGACATACCTTTGAAGCGTGCAGGACAGTTACTTTCTAGGGCATACCTCAATTTGGATTTATGGGTTACTCTCCATGATTAGATTCAGGTTATGTATCTTTGGCAGGAAGAACAGAAGTGGTGCTCCGTTCTCTCTGCATCCCGTTCGGTGGCGTGGGATTTCATGGTGCCCCCTTACAAGCGCTCTTCAGATCAACTGCTTAAGATGATGTTCACCAGGCTTCTTCACCTGCCAAGCTACTCTTTTTGCCCCTTCCTGATGAATTCAGGGTTTTGTAGGTGGTATTATCCCATTTGTCATCAAATTTTCATTTAATAATACGTAAGTGTTCCTAGTTTGCTATATTACTAGTGGATGGGTTAAATCCACCTTTTTTTAAAAAAGATTTATTTATTTGAGAGAGAGAATGAGAGAGAGAGCATGGGGGGGAGGGGCAGAGGGAGAAGCAGACTCCCCGCTGAGCAGGGAGCCTGATGCGGGACTCAATCCCGGGACTCCAGGCGCCCCTAAATCCACTTTTAAAATGATTTATCTTAACGTTCAAATAATCCTACATTTGGTCAGTAGGAGTCCATGCAAGGTAGCTTCTGTGCTTTTCTTTACATCACTCCATCATTCCTTGACCACTTTTTTTGTTTCCGGCACAAAGATACTGTATTTCGCTTGCCCTGACCCTGGAATTAGCCATTTCTTGAAGGAGCTCTGGTTCCATTTAGTGGAGATGCCAAGATTGGGACCCTAAGGATATCATTTCTGCTGGCAATGATGCTTTGGTCAGTGGACAGAGCTAGGGAATATATAGGCAGATACACATGTTCGGACCTATGTTTGCATCTACACTTCTGTATCTGCCTACACAGAGAAGACTGGGGGCGCCTGGGTGGCTCAGTCAGTGAAGCGTCTGCCTTCGGCTCAGGTCATGATCTCAGGGTCCTGGGATTGAGCCCCACGCCGGGCTCCCTGCTCAGAGGGGAGCCTGCTTCTCCCCCTCCCTATGCCCCTCCCCCAGCTCATGCTCTCTCTCTCAAAAAAAATAAAATAAAATTTAAGAAATATAGAGAGAAAACTGGGGATTTGTACCAATTTTTGCACTTCACTCCCACAGGATTATTCTAGTTTTCTCTAGTATTTGTAATTCATACGTCCCTTCTCTGGTAGTGAGAAACATGGTAGTAGGGACTGAATTGTGTCCCCTCCCTCCCCCCTCACCCGACCAAATTCATATGTTGAAGCCCTAACCCTCAGCGTGACGGTATTTGGAGATGGGGCCTTTGGGAAGTAATTAGATTTAGATGAGGTCATGATAATGGTACCTTCGTGATAGATTTGGTGCCCTTACAAGAAGAGAAAGAGACGGCAGAGCTGTCTGCCATGTGAGGACAAAGCAAAAAGGCAGGTGTACATGAACTACAAAGAGCCCACGACCTCAGAATCCAGCCTCCAGAAGGGTGAGATAATGCAGTTCTGCTGGTTAAGCCACTCGGTCTATAGTACTCGGTTATGGCAGCCCAAGCAGATTAATATACATGGTTCCCATTACTCTTAACATATTTATTTATTTGATCACTGTCCCTCCCTGGGGCCTCCGACCCTCCACACTGCGCTACCTCTTCATGGGGATGCCCTCCTCAACCTCCTTGGGCTCTGATTTCCCATTCTGGGCCATCATGTCCACCTCATTTCCCCCTCTGTTAACTTCTACTATGGCTTTGGGGCTGACCTCTTCAGGAAGAGAAGGAAATAGATTTTGCTTAGTTCCCTAAAATATCATGTGATCATTCGGGGAAATGAGTTTAACCAAGCAAAAGTCTAAAAAAGTTCATTATAATGATAAATTTGAAGCTAGAAGGAAACTTAAAGATCATCTACAAACATTCTATTTCGTTAACTATTTGATTCCTAAGGATCATTTTTCTTGCTTTATTTTTTTAAAATTTATCTTATTTTTTTTTAAAGATTTTATTTATTCATTTGACAGAGAGAGAGAGAGAGCGCACAAGCAGGGGGAGGGGCAGAGGGAGAGGGAGAAGCAAGCTCTTCACCAAGCAAGGAGCCCGATGCGGGGCTCAATCCCAGAACCCTGGGATCATGACCTGAGCCAAAGGCAGATGCCCAACTGAATGAACCACCCAGGCGCCCCAAAAATTTGTCCTACTTTAAAGAGAAACTGAGTCTCATTAAAAATATTGTGCATGAACTGAGCTGCGATTATAAAGAAACTTCTGGAGTTAGAACCACTGTTTTATAGAAGCTACTTCTTATTTATAGAAGCTCCGTTTGTTCACCCCATTCAGTGTACTTCTGCCCGTCCTTTGTGTTTCTGGCAGAGGGACTTAAGAGGAGCAGATGAGCTGGACTATAGCTGAAAAATCTGTCTTGTGAAGAAGCTAACATGGGAAGGTGCAGTAACTTTATTCTTCCAACTAATATTGAACTAAGAGAAACTAATTTTATTATTGTCTTCCCACCACACACACACACACATACACACACACACACACACCAGGACATGTGGTTTCACAAGCATAAATGCATTTACAGAGACAGTGTTACTACAGTTGAGACCACACAGGAAAGTGTAGGCAACATTCAGTGTCTTGCTGGGGAATTATGTAGGGTTCAGTCTGTAGGAAAGATGACCGACAAGGATGTGCATCTATGTCTATTGGGCCATATGAAGTCTTTTAGATGATGCATTTCAGATAGGATTGAGGTCAACTTCAAATAATAGAAAACCCAACCAAAGTGGCTTAAAGGAACAGGGATGGATTTATCGTTTTTTTTTTCTTTTATTTAAATATTTAAATTCTCGTTAGTTGACATAACAGTTGAGTGTCAGTTTCAGAAATAGAGTTCAATGGTTCATCATTTACATGTAACATCCTGTTCTAATCATAACAAGTGCCCTCCTTAATGCCCATCACCCATCTATCCCCCACCCACCTCCCTCCATCAACTCTCAATTTTTGTTCTCTATAGTTAAGAGTCTCTTATGATTTGTTTCCCTCTCTCTCTTCCCCCCGGAATGTTCATCTGCTTTGTTTCTTAAATTCCACATATGAGTGAAGTCATATGGTATTTGTCTTTATCCATCTGACTTATTTCGCTTAGCATAATACTCTCTAGTTCCATCCACATCGTTACAAATGGCAAGATTTCATTCTTTTTGATGGCTGAGTAATATTCCAATGTATATATATACCACATCTTCTTTATCCATTCATCAGTTGATGGACATTTGGGCTCTTTCCATAGTTTGGCTATTGTTGATAATGCTCCTATAAGCTTCAGACATACACAGCTTTGAGTGTATATTTTTGTATCCTTTGGGTAAATATCCAGGAGTACAATTGCTGGATCATAGAGTAGTTCTATTTTTAGCTTTTTGAGGAACCTCCATACTGTTTTCCAGAGTTACTGCACGAGCTTGCATTTCCACCAACAGTGTAGGAGGGTTCCCCTTTCTCCACATCCTCACCAGCATCTGTTGTTTCCTGACTTGTTAATTTTAGCCATTCTGACTGGTGTGAGGTGGTATCTCATCGTGGTTTTGATTTGTGTTTCAAACAGGGATGGATTTATCTTACTAGAAGTCTGAAGGTTAGTGGTTGCTCGCAGGGGCTCAGTAGCTCAGAAATGTAAGGCTACTGTCTGTGTGATTCTCGGCCTTTCTATCATGGCTCCAAGATGGCAGCTATAACTCCAGGCACCATATATGCATGTAAGACAGGAAAAACGGGGGCGCCTGGGTGGCTCAGTCGTTAAGCGTCTGCCTCCGGCTCAGGTCATGGTCCCAGGGTCCGGGTCCTGGGATCGAGCCCCGCATCGGGCTCCCTGTTCCAGCAGGGAGTCTGCTTCTCCCTCTCTCTCTGCTGTTCCCCCTGCTTGTGCTCTCTCTCTCTGTCAAAAATAAATAAAAAAATCTAAAAAAAAAAAAAAAGGAAAAAAGGAAAACAGAAGTTTATCCAGAGACTTGCTCCATCACCACCCCCAGCAGATATTCATCCACTGAACATTAGCCTGCATTTTCACATCATCACTTCTACCTACAAAGAAAGCTGGAAAAGTGAGTAGTTAACGTTCCCAGCTTTTATAGTGGAGACAAGAAGGGAAAAAGTGATTAGGATTGGGTGTCGGGTCTATTGATCTCTTTGTCTGACACAAGAAGGCTGATCCATTATTTTCCATTTATCATTTGGGAAATGCAAGAAGTTTCAGTTGGACATAGGAAAAACATTTTTGACTCTCTGGTTAAAAGGCTACTAAGGCAGATAGCGATGCCTCTGTCCTTGGAGATCTTCACATTGAGAAATCACTATTGTGTGTCTTAGAAGATTTAGATATTCAGTTGTGCCTAAAGCCTGGAAACTGGACCAGATGATTTCATTAGGTCTAGATTATCTGACTCACTGTTTCCAAGCTACACATTCCCTACTTCTCAAAGCACTGTGAAATACCCAAAAATACAAGATGGCCACCCCTCATCATCAATTCCCCACCCCCCCCAATCTACTTCACTGGAAAATTTCCAACAGCACTTTGCTATTATAGCTTCTAAGGCTAATGCTGTTTCTCTTAATCAAAACTAGTTTCGGATATGCCAAGAAAAAAAAGAATTTGATAAATGAGGTATAAGTAAAAAGATCAGACCATCAAGATTTATTTAATACACTGAAATGCATTTGGATAAAACTAAAAATTGGTCTAAGATCCTATTAGGTAGATGTGAAGCAATTACTTTAATTTTATAGTAAAGTCACAAAACTTCCCCAGACATAATATTATCCAAGATTATGTGTTATGCTTACTTTTTAAGTAAACACATTTGTAAATCACTTGGCAAATGTGTCGAGAGCCCATGGTTTATTTCTGCTTCACATTACACTGTAGTCTTGGCTACACCAGGTTCCCTAATGGCAACAACTAACCTTTTCCAGACAACTCTTCTGCCCCGGAGCAGAGAAGACAATGCCCCATTGTGAACTTGCACAAGATTTGCAAATATGGTGCAATTTTGATGTACCAGTGGCCTGAACTTCACAAACCCACCAAAGATTCCAGCTAGCCTGTACTTGTCAGCTGGAAAGCACGAGGAAGACTAGGGTAAAGTCCCCCTTTTTTAACTGTGTTTAAAGACCATCTAAAAGCCACTTTCTTCCTCTCGTCTTTTAAACGGCCAGAATGAAAACTGGGATTGGTTTCACAATAATCCAAAAAATCATCTCTTTCATACACATTGATTTGGATTACATTGCTGGATTAGTTTAGGGAAACACTGGCCTCTAAGTCTTCCACAAGTTTGGCTAGCTGAAAGCTCCTTTCCCCCACGCTCCAGGCTCCAGGCGAGGTGCGACATACGTTACCTCAACTTCATTTCATCTGCTCAGCAGATTTTTATTGAGCACCTACTCTGCTCACCTAGTGTTCCTGTTATCGACTGGCCTTGTAAGAAGGGCCATCATTGGAACTGCATGATGTCTTTCTCTTCGAGACTACAATTCATGAACATTTACAGTTCCTCTGCCCAAAGAGTTCATGCTCATGGGAATTAAAAGGAGGTTCCCGCCTCTGTTGAACCTGGTACAAAAGTTCACTCCTTTTCTTTCCAAACTGCTCGTCTTCAGAATTTGATTTCAGAAGCCTTTCGCTCGAAGGCATGCCAACTCATGCTTCCGCGAGTCGACCTGACAGGCCGGCCTCAGATTGGGAGTTATGTGGGACCTGATTTGACATATCCTCAGAGGAGCGGGGAAAGAACACTGAATCTGCCATCAGGAGCCCCCAAGTTTCTGATCTGCTTGCTCCCCATCTGGATAATTTTCTGTTGTTTCAAATTCTGTATGTTTCAACTTCAGGGTTGTTCAAGCCCTGGAGCCCAACTTGAACTTGAACTTGAACAGGCCAAGCGAGGTGACATTCAGCAGGGCGCCTTGAAAATGTGGAGAAGTCATCTATCCAGAAGGATCACCCCCTTATCCGCCCCCAGAAGGGACTGAAAACCAGGGGCAGCCTGACACAACACTTCAGCTCAACATTACACAGCTTCTAACAAAATATCACTTGATTAGGAGGCTCCGAGGAGGGTCATGAGATCACACGCTCTCACAGCCCGTTGCGTCCTGGTGTCTGGGGAAGGAGATTCTGAACAGGAAGAGCCTTCCAACTTCTTGGACGCATGAATGCAGCAGTTCAAGGGTGGATCCGTCCTGCCCCAAAGGTCTTCTCACCCCCCGCCTGGTGGCGTAGCAGAGAACCAGTGGGGTCTTGATCACAGCCTCTGAGTGGGAAGTTCACAGCGTGTCAGAGGAAAGCAGAAGGCATGTGGCTATTTCCATGTGGTTCGCGAACCCTGAATCACCTCTGCGTGGCCGTGGGCAAGACTCACAGAGGCAGGTGTGAAGGGTCCTGAGGCCTAAAGAGGCAGGCACAGAGGCAAGAGGACCTGCACGGTTTTGTTGGCCCAGAGCCCTCTGCGGAAGTGGTAACAGGGCCACGTCTCCAACCCAGAGGCAGGGCCCATTCCTTCCCCTCCCCAAAGCACCTCCCCAGCGGGACACCTTGTGTGTTCCTCTCCTCTATCAGCCCACCCCACGGCTCCAGCCAGCGTCTTTGTCTCCAGAATTTACGCTGCCCTTTCCAACTTTCTTGTAACTCATCCTCGGAGAGGTCAGCCCTGGGTCAGAAGCACATACAGTGCCTTCTAGAGAAAGCTTTAGGGAGACAAGGCCACGGAATGCCCAGGAGGGGGCAAGAGCAGCTAGACTCCTGCTCTGGTGCCCAGGGCCTCAGTTTCCACATCCGCAAAAGCAGGAATTAGCTCTGCTTGTTTGTTCCATGCAAATCAAACGAGACGTCTGTGGAAATGTTCGAAAACACTTGACAAATATCAAGCGGCCCCATTTTCCCTGCAATGACCCTATGACAAATGCAGTCATGTAGCCAGTGATTACCGAGGATCTATGATGGACCACACCGGGCTGGGCCCTGGAGATAGGACAATAAATGTGGCATGTCCCCTGGGCTCAGGGGATTGACCTGGGGGTGGGGTACAGCAGCGCAATGGGCAGTTAAAATATACTCTGCTAAACCTCATAACTGAACATAAGAGGGGTGCCCAGCTCGCACGGAAGGGGCTTTGCAGGGCGAGGGGTAACCCAGGAGCTAAATCTGGAAGGACGATAGGAGCGTCTGCTAGGAAAACAAGGGGGTAGAGGTCCTTCCAGGTGGAAAAGCAGCATGCACGAAAGCGAGAAAAATGACAGCTTGGGGAAGTCAGAGTATGGCAAGTGTTTCAGGGGAGCTGGGGCCGAAGGTGAGGGAGAGATGACCCTGGGGCATCAGGATGGGGGGGTCCTCCCTGGGTAGCATGCTGCGTGCTCACGACATGCCGGGCACTTTTCTAGTACATCATATGTATTCACTCTCTCATCCTCCCGCCCCCTCCATGAGGCCCGTCCTGATTACCCATTGCTTAGGGAAGAAGGTGAAGTCCAGAGAAGTTAAATAACTTGCCCAAGGTCATACAACTAGAGTGTCTGCCAAGGAGTTGGGTTTTGTTCTAAGACCACTGAGAAGAGACTGAGATTTTAAGCATGTTTTGGGGCCGGTTCAGATTTACTTCTATTTATTCTAGGGTCTGTTTCCAAGTCTTTTAGATAGTTTCTTGACAGCCTGCATGCCTGGTAAAGTACATGTCACTTTCTCTTGTGGAAATGTGTGTTGTTTGCTTAAATACTTAACGCTTATCTCCTGGACTTATCAATAATGTAATGCAGTAATTGAAATCTTCTGGGAGGGGGTAGATTACAAATGGAAATTTACACTTAAAGGTCGATTATACTTAATGTTCAATTAGCTTGGCTAATTTTGCTCTTCCTCCTTTCCTTCACAATCTTTTGTGGGGGATAAAGAGAATCAGTGGACTTCAAAAATACAGAAACTTGTAAATAAGGCACAATATATACAAAAAACTTCAAACTGTTCCGATTTTTTTTTTTTTAAAGTAATGTCACTTCTAGGAATGTATCCTAAGCAGATAACCCGGCATACTAAGTCACACATATAAGAATAGTGTTATTTCAGTAACAGGCATGAAGTCCACCTTAGCACTCTTTTTTTTTTTTAATTCTATGCCCAACGTGGCACTCGAACTCACGACCCCAAGATAGAGAATTACAGGTTCTACTGACTGAGCCAGCCTCAGGCCCCAGGCATGAAGCCCACCTGATACCCGGGTACCACATATTCTCTCTAAACAAATTAAGTCTGGTTTATCACCACCAGCCAGGGCTGGTGGGACGCTCAGTCATTTTTCTGAGTTCTGGTTTCTTCTATTGTCCTTTGGGATGGTGGAGAATTCTTGGGTTTAGGTAGTACAGGAATTTAGGAAAAGGTATAGTACCTGGGAGTTTACTATCTAGGCTTCCATGGACCTCACAACCCTCTGGACCTAACTTACCCACAGGAATTCAGAATAGTCCCCAGGTTTCCTCAAAGGCCCCCATCCAAAGCTCTGGCACCTCCAGGATGCCCCCACCAGCCTCCTGAGGACTCCTTCCCTCCTGAGGAATCCACCCCTCCTTGTTCCCAGTCTCAGAATAGTCCACCCTTCTGCTTCCAGTCTGGCCCTTCTCCCTCTGGACTCTCTGAGTTCAAAACCTTCAACCCTTTTCCCTCTAGGACTCCTAGGTTCATTGGACTTCAGTTGACTTTCCTTCCTGAACACATACTTTTGCAAGCAAAGACCTATTAACTTGCTCCTGGGATAAAGGAAAGGCCAGATGGCCCCACCTCAAAGCCCTACGTGGGTCCTTGGGAAGAGAAAGGAAGACCTCTATTGCTTTATAATGAACCACAGCCTAGAAAACAGGCCTAGTTTATGCCCAATGCATTCTACCACATTAAAACTTTAATGTCATCCAAT